TTAAGAACAGGACTCTGACTTTGCTTTTGGATCAAACAAATGAGCATAGGATTTTTCTTCTCTTTTAAGGAGATTGGTTTCCAATGTTTTCAGTGTAGAAGGCAAGAACTGCATCAGGAAAAGCAAAGGTGAAGGCAAGAGATTGACAAGGACTTTCTGTTCACGTCTTCTTTCTAGCCTTGTGGCAATTCCTGTCTACGTTAAACACAACATCAGTTTTCGTGATAGCAGTTCACTGGGACGTTTTGAGATCACAGTGGGGCCAAAGCAGACTATGGGGAAGACTGTAGAGGGAGTGATGGTCACTAGCCAGATGCCAAAAGGTGTCTTAAATATGACCCTCACACCCTCTCAAGGAACACATATCTTCGATCCAGTTACAAAGGTGAGAGGAAAGAGAGAAATTTTTTTTTTATTATTCTTTTTTACCTTTGAGCAAATGAAGTGGAGCTGTTCATGCTTACATGAACATTTCCTTGAACAGTGCTTTTCTGAAGGCAGTATCTTTTCTTGGAGTGAGAACTTTTTCTGGACTATTGCATATTAGAAGTTGTCTTAATCCCCACAGCAAATAGCTCAGTGTCTGAGTGGATTGTAGTTCTGGTTGCTTGGTGTGTGCAGAAAATTCAAGAACTGGTATCGTATGATAAGGCATTAGTCTGATGGATGCTTTACAGACTTCTGCATATCAAGTTATCATGCCTAGTACTGCATGTTAGACTTGGTCCTTTGCAAACTCTGAGGATTTTGATTGGTTAGTGGGTTTTTATTTTAGTTGGGGTGTTCTGGTTTTGTTATTTGATTCTTCCCCTTCCCCCAGCATTGGTGTGGTTTTGTTTGTGTTTTGGTTTTTTTTTTTTTTTCCTTACTGCAAACTTAAATTTGATGGTTTACCCACAGTAGAGCCTCAACCAACACTGCTTCAGGCACTTGGAAAGGGGGCAGTTCAGCATTATTTTTGTCACTGTTACACATAGGAAATGGAGCCTGTGGCATAAGTAGTGCAAATACCATTCATGGTAGGCTTTTGGGGAACCTCATGGAAAGAGAGAGGGGGAGAACAAAGGTCTGAGGCAGCTGCTCCTTAAGCCTGTACCGTGTCTGTTCAATATGAAAGGCAAGATACTAAGACAAAGACCTTTTCCATAAAGAAACATTAAAAGCTGTCATTGGAAGGAGACTCTTCTTTAGAGACTGTTACAGCATTTCTGTTTCACTGTTGCATTTTCTGTTCCTTGAAGTTGCTGTCATGGGATGTGGGGAAAATAAACCCCCAGAAGCTTCCAAGCCTGAAGGGGAGTGTGAGTCTGCAAGCTGGGACATCAAAACCAGACGAAAACCCCACCATTAACCTGCAGTTTAAAATTCAGCAGCTGGCTATATCTGGTAAGTGACTGTCAGGTAAGGAAGCTGAATGTTCCCTGCTGTGTCAGTGCTCGCTCTGCACATAGCTGAGATAACTCTGTAGGCCTTATGAAGTACATTATATCTGAAACATGTCCTTTAAGTAAAAAAAATTGTGTGCTTTGACTACAGATATGTGGATTTATTCTCTCTGATGCTCTGTAAAACAGCCTACCTACATTTCCTTGCATTTCATGCTTACAGACCTATAAGGAATTTTAGGGAATGGATGTGTTTGTAAAGAATGATTCTGACCATTAATAGCTGTCAGCTTTTCTCTGTTCTTACTGCTTGCTAAAACTTTCCCTATGCTTCCTGCACCGCTAGTAAGATCTTCTGTTCCTTTATTTTTTAAGGCCTGTCTGTTTGTGGCAGCAGTCTTATGCTGTGTTTGTTTGCCTTTAGGACTGAAGGTGAATCGCTTGGACATGTATGGGGAGAAGTACAAGCCCTTCAAGGGGATAAAATACATGACTAAGGCTGGCAAGTTCCAAGTCCGAACCTAGAGGATCCTGATAGTGAGGAAGAGCACTTTCCTGTTTCTCCTGTCCCTGGCTGTTGGATGCAGACTCTTACCCCATCCACCTGTTTAGGGTTGCTCCGTTGCCTGTAATAGCATGAGCAGGAGAGCCAGTGCTTAGGGTGCTGGGGAGCAAGGAAAAGTAAGGTTGACCTGAAACCATCTCATCCCTAAGTGAGTCTGAAGTATTTGGAACAATGGCAGATGGGAGAGGTGTTCAGGTCCCTTGAGATTGAGTGAGCTATGTAAGCTTGTATCACCTTCATTTTGCTGTCTTAAAGGAAATTCTAGGGATTTATTGCCTTTTGTAACTCTTCTTCCTTATATTTTGGTTTACTTTTATCCCTCTGTAGATGATACAAAATTGAATTTCCACAAACTTCAGCTCCAGTGTGATGGTCTGGCTTCTGCCCTTCTCCATCACCGGGTGTCAGGGTGGAGAGCTTGGCAGCAGAGACATCATCTAGCCATTCTTCCTCAAAGGGACTGGAAGAAATGGAAAGGTAGATTGTCCTATCCAGGATGGGAAGTTAAGAACCCTGGGATTGGGGATGGTGCCACAGAGGGAGGAAGGTAAAAAGTGGATGCTTTTTCTAGGTATTTCATAAGCAGTTTTGGTCATCAGGTATCTCGAATCTCTGAAGATAGATTGGAAACCCATCCAAATCTTAGTATGGTATCCTGTGAAGGGCTCACTGTAGCACATGTGATCTCGTAACTGATGGGTGGTGACATCTGAATGTAATTCTGCTTATTTTGTCAGTATTTGAAAGTAGGGATTCTTTTAGTTTCTTTAGGGAGTTAGGGAAAAGACAGAGACAGGAGTATTTTTGTGGAGACACAGGATTCTGATGGAAACTGAAGCTGTGGCTAAATGAAGATGATCACTATCCTAGTAACTTGTTGGAACCTCTTTTTGTCTGTCCCTGCCTATTACAAATGAAGGTGATACTGCTGTCTCCTACTCACTGATGTCTGTGTTTGAGGTAATTGTATCCTCGTACCTTTGTAGTGTTTCTGGCTGTCCTACCTCATTCTGGTTCCTGTACCAATCAGCTGCTGTGCAGGTGGATTCAAGCCTACGCAGGATTTTTCACTGGGACCATCTCTGCTGCAGGAGGTGTTGCTGTATCTGCCCATTTCAGTCTGTGCTGCATCTGTCTGTACAGCATGAATATGAAATCAGAGGCATTTGCACTGTTTTGTGTTGTCTGTAATGTGATCTTTGGCCACTAGATGCCATGTGTTTTCTCTGTGGTAGCAGAACTTGTCCTTAAGCTGCTGTACATGGGACTACAGCATCTGTCAAGTGGCTGTGGAGTCCAGCATGTGCAGTTCATGCTTGTGAACAGAACAAGGTGACCCTAAACAAAGGATAACATACATTCTGGTTTGCATGTAATGGATACTTGCAGTGGATGAGTGGCATCTTGCTTGTGGAATTGCAAATTCCAGTACAACTAATGAATGCCATAGCAGGTGGCCTTATTACTGAGCATGTTGAGTGCAAATATAACCTTCAGCAAGGGTGTCAATAAAATTCATTTTTACATGTCATCTGTGGCATTTCAGAGTGGTTTGTGGGGGTTTTACAAGAAATAAAATTGGTATTTGAGAAGGAAGGTAAATTATGCCAGTTGGATTGTGGGTAGCGGGTGCCTAAGGAAGATAAATGTCTTTATGCAATTGGGATTGTAAGCTTGGGACTAAGTCGCTGTCTACAAAGCTAATTAATTACTTGGTAATTTTTCTTAGTGTTTCCCAAAAGGAGTGCTGAGCTCTTTCCAGAACCTCAGTGAAACAGTCTTTAGGAATGCAGCTGAACCATTTTTGTTTATTAGGTAGGGTTTTGGGTAGCAGGCTAAGGGCTGTGCTTTAATTATGAAGACAATAAATACCTCTTCACCATCCTGCTCTTCAAGAACCGTTAGCGTCTGTTGGCTTTGTATCTTTGTTTTTTTAAAGTATCTTTTCTTTCCTGCTGAAGTGATTCATGTTACTTGATCTTGAAAGGCTTATATGCATAGGGGTGTCTGGACCTTATGACAAGCTTTCTGTATGAGTCTGAGACGGCTGCAAGTTCCTATGGAATGAAAGATGAAGCAGGGCAGAAGGGGGAAGCAGGGAATAACATCAGTGAGAACTTGGTAGATAAAGATGTAAGGAGTTTTGGGGGCAAGTATGAGGTATAGCTGTGTTCTTCATTTACAATAAAATGCTGATGTTGACTCAGGGTCTGAAAGAACTTGAATATAACAATATCAACTGCAAAGTGAGAAGGAAAATGAGGCAAGCAGATGGCGGTCATTATTGTCTTAGACCTTACCTTGAGATGGTCCTGTGCTACAGTGTACTGGAAGAGGACAAGTAGGGGCGAAAACAGGATAAGAAGAGTAAAAGCTGATGTAGAGATGGAAACCATCTTGGGGATTTTTATCAGGAGGGATGTAATGGGTAAACAAGCCAGAGAAAGGCAGTTAAATGCACTGAGCTAGGTGGCAGCAGCTTTTGAGAAATGAAACTCAAGAAGTTAAAGGCAGGCTGGAGAATGCCCTTTAAGTCAGCTGCAGAGAAGACATCACAGAAGACAGACCAGGATGGAAGGAAGCGGCCAGTGCAAAAATGGCAGCTACAGCTTGTGTGGCTCTTGTCACCTTGGATGTTTCATGTAAGGGTATTTTCAAGGAGCTGGTAATGGCTGTGACGTAAAACTGTTCTCTGCAACTTATATTTTTTGTAGGATGTATTTTTCTAAAAGCTCAGTATCAGCTGTGGTTCAGTTACATTTTATTGGTGGCTGTTAGATCACATCAAGCTCAAATAATGTATTTAATAGACTGTTTGGATTGTGGAACAAAAGTTGTGTTCCTGAGGACACTTACCTGTTTTACTCATTGGAACAGTTTTGGGTGTTTTACAGGCTGCAGATATTTGGCAGGCTTGTGGATGCCAAGATAGTGAGGCACAGCAGCGCTTGGAAATGCATTTAGGGGAGAGGAATGGAAATCAATTTGTCTTTTTCTCAAGGTTAATACCAAATTAAACAGGAAAAAAAAATCACACTAAAAACCTGAAATGTTGACTCATTTTTAATAAACATCTTGGGGCTTTTTTCCCCCTTCCACTGACTGGAATATGGGACTCATTGCTGAAGCTCACTGGACTTACACTAGTGTTTCTCTGAGAACATTAGAGATCTCTTTGAGGTCAGCTTCTAAGCTGGTAGCTAGAAAGACATGGACCATCTGTGAAGTTTCCATTTGAAAAACTAGTGGGCATCCTTACCAAATCTCTCTTCTGTATTTACTTGTTATATAAACTTCTCTATTTAACTAGAGGTTGTGCTAGTTTTCTAGCTACAATGCCTGATTGCTACTAAAGCTAAACTCCTTTTGTAGCCTCGATATATTTTTTTTTTTTCCTAAAACAATAGTCACACCTGCTTTCTCTTACTTTATAAAACAATTGGACAAGAGGCTATCTCTCAAAGATGCTTAGCTCTTAGGACGTGCATCACTTAGCATCACATGGCAACTGCAATCCAAGTAATGCTTGACTACAGAGATTTTGGTTCACAGTGACATGGTTATACCTGTCCTGCCTTCTGTTAAAGGACAAAATGTAGCCTTGTGACATTTGACTTGATCTTTACTTGTGGATGTAAATCTAGCAAGCACCTAAAACTGTTACCATTACACTTGTCCTTTGTTCTGCCCTGCTGCGCTAGAGAGTGCTTTTGTTTTCATATCAGATGGTAATGCATAGAAATTTAATAGACAAAAAGTAATGTGTTGATTCTGTGGCACATAAGGCTGGTGTTAAGATTTTCACCTATTCCATATTTATTTAAATTTTTTATTCCTACCAGGAGGAGAAGCAAGTGGAAGAATAGAATGTCCTAACAAGCATGCCATCTTGGATTTGCTCTGAAAAATCATGTAGTATATCGATATGGAAATAAGCAGCCCATGCCTACAGCTTTTCTGTTTCTATTGGAGTCAAGGTGAATCAGCTTAAATAACCAAAGAAAAATGGTATAAGGACAGAGATTAAGCCTGACTGGAATGTCTTCCAAATTTACAGCCAAAGAAGGAGGCAGATGAAGTTTTCAGGAGATTAAACATGTCCACTCTGCTTTCAGTTCACACCCATTCCCAAATCAACATAGGTGTTCATGGGATGCAATTTGTTCTTGCTTGGTTTATTCTCTTGGGCCAAAAATTATTTTAAATTGTATTCATGTTATTTGATGCAAGGAGAAAGCTTGGGGATGTGAGGGAAAAAGGAGTATTAGCTTCCAGTAATCTATAATAAGGAGAGTAATTTCAGAATGTGCCCTTCCTACACGTGGCAGTTTGTTTTCCTCTTATATGGAAAGTCATAAACATCTGGACAAACAGGAAGCTCTGTCAGCATCCATAAAGCATCCAGAAGGAAGCTGTGAAGGCATGGCCACAAACTGTGGATAGTTCATTTTTCTTTCTCAGGGTTTCATGTTGTCCTGAATCCAGTCAAGATAACGATTCACATTTGTATAAACGCCAGGTATGTCTTTGCGGCCACAGCCTACTCCCCAGCTGATGATTCCAGTTAGATACATACGATCATCCTTCATACAGACCAGGGGCCCTCCAGAGTCACCCTACAGAGAAGTAGCAGGTTAGTAACAGTCTCCTTTTTTGTTTGATTGTTTTTGTGTTGTTTTTTTTCCCCCCACTGGCTTTAGTGGTGCACTAGTGTTTATGAAAATAACCTACGTAGTATACTCACAAATCAAGAGCTCTTAGTAACAGCACTTTCACATATGCTACTTTTGTGTTCCAGAATCCCTCAATGCTCCTCTCAGGGGGAGAGACCCAAAAAAATCTAACACTAAAGTATCTTTGTGTGGTGCTCATTTATGAAATGTAGGTGAGACATTGATAACAACAAAAAAAGGGATGCTCTTATTCAAGCTGTAAAGATCCTGGGTGTTTTATACTGCCATGTGTAACAGTAAAGCAAAATTATTAGAGCTGTTTAAATGGAAAAATGTGAATTGAATGCATGTCCTCCTTTTTTCTTACGCTACAGATGCTTGTTCTCTACCATCTTTTGGCCTTTATTCTTTACTTCTCAGTAGAGCAGCACCCCCTTCCTCTTACAGAACCTGCTGCCCAGTGTTTTTCATGCTCACATAAGAGAAAACATTAGGAAATGCTGCTGAGGTGGAGTTTCCTGCACAGTTTTGTGGTATTTCCTATATTGGGGATTTACAGCCTGTATTGTTCTGGTTTGCTTGGTTAAATGTGGCCTACTTTCCCAGTTATGAGGGGCAGGGGAGGGAAAAAGAAAGAGGAGCCAGCAGTTCTGTCCGGTTCAACAGGAGTCTACGTAGCCAAATGCAGAACTTCCTTAAACTAGCTCATACTACCAAGGACAGACCTAAAAAAGAAAAGAGGAACAGAATTGAGTTTACCTTGCAAGCATCATCAAGGTGCCTTGTGTCTCCTGCACATAACATATTGTCTGTAACTGTCCGGTTGTCTAGGTGTTGTGTTGTGCACCGACTGGCTGGAAACAGTCTAACATGGCCTTCCTTCAGGTGCTCTGAATAGAATGGAGAAACTGGAAGAAAAATTCAATATAAATATGTCTATATCCATCATATGTGTTTATATATATTTTTTTTTTTAATGCAGTTCAGTTTTTGTTGTTTAGGAGAGAGTAAACAAGTAGCTGGGGTGAGGAGGTGGCTAAACTAGTATTTCCTTGCCAAAGGGTCTTTTTTTAATTCTTGGGGCTTCTGCTTTGCTAGTGAGAGCAGCTAACGTCTAGTTCAGAGAGAATATTGCTTCTTTAACAAGCTTAGATGCTGAATAGGTTTTTGTAGGCTCCAAATTAAAGACTGTTGGGTTTCTTGGATGGATGAGTTGTCTTTGCACAGTTACATCAATCAAAACGAAGCCACAGGAAGTGCCTATGAAAATCACAAACTATATGAAACGGGACCCTGACTTTTTAGTATTAGACTTGACGCTAACAAAAATCAGATGCTTTGTTGTACACAATACTGAGTAACTGGATAGGAATGTACACTTGTGTTATGTTAGAATGGAAGGGATTTTTTTGTTTGTTTTGGGTGTTGGCTTTATTCTCCTGCATAGCTGAAATTGCACAAAGCTGAAAGTTGGCAGGACTGTTGTTTTCTAGTCTAGTTTTGAATTACAGCTGCAGCATCCTTTCCCTCTCAAAGAGTTTATCCTGTACTCCCTGTAAGCAATGCTCAGGACTAGCTTTAAAAGCATTCTAAAAACAGTGTATTCCACACTTAGATGTTAAATATTCAAGTCTGTTCCAAAACCCCTATGGGTTCGAATCACGATTAGGTCTTGTTATGATGGATGCTTCACAGTCTCTATCTCAAAGAGTTTACAAGTTAGAGAATAAAAAGAAATTAATAGGAAGTGCTAATAAAATAAGAGCTGGGTTTTTTGGGTGTTTGTTTTAAATACAGGTCAGCCTGTGTATACCTTCAGACAGGTGTTTTTCCTGTTTGTTGTAGCTCACTCTAAAAACCATTTAGCCAGACTTTTAATATATATCTGGGATTGTTATTTCTGTAGGGTTTTTTTTCCCCAATCACCGTACAGCCAGTGTATCTTTTGGAATAATGCAACTACCTGCAAATGTATGGTATATTAAATCTTGACAGAAATGGATTTCTGTCAGACTGATGATAAATAAATGTAGTCAGTACAGCAGAAATGTGGCAGCCCTGACTGAAAGTTTTCTGTCCTTCCTACCTTATCCATTGTGCCATTTTTTGTGTTTCTATTGTTGGAGAGTATCAAAGGAAGACTCTACCAGCCCATGCAGCTGACAGAACTCGGATGAATGAAATAACTTACAGCAAAACTTGTCTTTGTGTATCTCCCACTTACACAGCACTTTTGTAACGCTGATACAAGCCCATATGATAATTCAGGGGTCACACATTAAGTGATGCTCAAGGCTTGAATTCTTTGAGGGCAGAGGACCCAAACTTTTGACATAGTATCTTCTCCTTACATGTAGACATGTATCTCCTACTTACATTCTTCACTTCTGCCATAGCCAGAGATCTCACATTCAGTCCAATCGGGCAGCTGCAGTTCTGGTGTTGGGAGACAGGCAGCACGGACAGTGTCTGTTTCAATAGCACAGTCTTCTGCATCTGAGCTCAACTGCAACAGAGCTGAAGAAAGAAAAAAATCACAACTTCATTAACCACAAATTTGAGCCAACTGTGAACTTTTCCAGCCATAAGGTCAGAAATGTTCTTACCAATATCATTGTTGAAAGTTTCTGAGTCAAACCTCTGATGCACAGTGTAGTTCTTCACTTCAAACTTTTGTTCATTTTCCTCTGGAGTTGCTCGGGAAGTCCTACCCAGAACAATCTTCAGCTGATTTGTACTAAAGCTGAAGAACAAGAGTCTTACTTTCTTCCTGCATTAACTGGATTGGAGCCTTCCCTTGAAGGTGTGCTGTTGGAGCTTCTGCTTTTCTTATGTTAGCACTATTCCTACTTCATTACCCAAGCAGTTTGACCTCACGTATCCTATTTGCCTTTGTGCTAATTGCTTACAGCCACCATGGCAAAGCTCCTCTGCCAGCCCCTTGCTGTTCTTCAGTTTCAGATGGCCCTGCACTCATATTGACAACTTTGTTCTTCAGCTATTTGATATTCTGCTGTGGTACCTCAATGCCATGCCGCTAGTTCACCCAATAAATGCTTGTCTGTAATGCTCAGCACAATTAACTCTATAATCTTTAGTGTCGAATGACTTACCAGGATAAAGAGCTTTTCTTCAAGTCTTTTTACCATTCCAGTGAGGCTATACTGGATGCTTGCATTTTCCTGATTGTTTTCCCTCAGACAGTACTGAATCTTCAACTTACCCTTCCTCAAAACAGTGAGCAGCTGACAAAACCCAGCAGGAACTGATCAGAATTCCTCCACAGAGAAAGTGCTCTCCAGGTGCTCGGCGATATTTCACAAAGATGGCAGCTTGCCATGGGTGAGCTGCAATGTCTGCATAGGAGCCACCTTTAATCCTGTACTGGCGTACTCTTCGCTGCCGTAAGCCACAGGCGGCTGTGGATGACAAACCCAGAAATAAGCTTTTTGTTCAGGCACTCTTGCCTTGAGTTTGGGTTAAGAGCCTGTTAATCTTCAGTACATGTTGAGGCAGCCTGGCATAAACTGTTTAGTATCTGACTCAATCCCGTTTCCTAGGAAACTTGTATTCTGATCTGAAAAAATACAGTAAGGAAACCCTGCCTTTTCTGTGCTCCATTTCTACAGTCTTGCATTCTAGCAGAAAAAAGGGCAATTCTGTGAGAGTGGAGCCATGGAATCTCTTTCTACTCTAAAAAGCTGATTTTTTTTTTTTTTTTTTTTCCCCAGCTCTTATTTTACTGTAAGAGGATTGAATTTAATACAAAGGATATGCAGAACAGTAATGCCTCAAAGACAGAGAAGAATCAGGAGTGCTAGGATCCTTACAGCAAGTAGGCACATTGCAGTACTCCCATGTGAGCTGATTTCCTTTCAGTACATGGCACCAGGGTTTGCTGTCATTGTCAGGATTCCTGCAGCACAGGAAAGAGAAGAGCTATTTGTATTATGAGATCTGCAGGGAGTCTGGGGAGACCTAAAGGTGGCAGACTGACCTGAGTGTAGTCTTTTTGATTTTTCTAGAGATACAGAGGGCCTTAATGGCACATGGAATTTGCATTTTTGGAGTCTGATGTTAGAGAAGCATGGATAAGTCAGGTGGAATAAAATTACTATTGTCAGTGAGCTTCATTCCCAGCAGTAATGTATTTCCTGTGCTTTAATAACCCATGTAAAATACTAGAGCCCTGTCTCAAGAGTACCACAAGGAAGTTTGGTGGGATATTTTTAATTCTATAACTGAATACATACCGGCAGAAATTGTGACTACCAAGGCCCAGCTGGTAAGCATCTCTTCTCCAAGCAGTATATAACTTGTTGACAAGGATTCGAGAAGTCCACCTCAAACAGGTAGCTCCAGAACTGGTAACGCTGTGGCTGCCTCGGTAATCTGTGCCTCTGCCAGATTTGCAGTTGATGTTCCCAACTTCAATAAGAAAGCTGCGCATTAACGAATGAACATGAACCTCTCAGCTGTTCCTAACTGATTTCTGTCAAGGCATCTATGTATTAGCTATACTTATCTCAGCCTCTCGGTGTCATAAATATTAAAAGCTTAAATACAATTTAACATGAGTCTCAACTTTTCAGGCTGCAGAAATAGCATAAGCCCACAGAGAGCCCTTGTATATGCAGTGAATCACAGAAGCTCTAAAGTCCATTCCCTGTCCCCCTGCATGTACCTTTTGAACAGGAGGGCACACTGCAGTGTTCCCAGATGTACTTTCCCCCTTTATAGATATAGCACCAAGGTCTGGAATCCTCATCTGGGTTTCTGAAAGAGTTATGATATTATGCATCATTATAAAGGTGTGGTTATTAGGCCCATGTCTGCCATCTGGTAACTTAATCCTGCTCTGCAGTGAAGATGTGGACTGAGCCATCAGGAGTCCTTTGGATTCCTATTTTAATTATGAAATTGCGGAGTACATGGAGGTGAGGATGAGCCAGCCAGTAGCTAACAGGAGCGGATAGCTTGTTTGTGCAGTTTAGTTCATATGCAGGAAGCACTGTATTTTTAGAGTTTCAAGCAGGATCTGGAGCTGCAGGAAATGGGCTTACAAAGGGAGTTTTAGGCGCTGAGAAGGCACCAGGGAAACACCATGGGGTGAGATATGTATTCATTTTGTAGTCCGTCATAAGCATCCAGTCTAGATCTGAAGTTCAGAAACGTCTACAGAAGTTGCAATTGTTGTTCATGGGCTACGCTGTATTTGCACCTGTGCAGCTTATTCTCTGCTTGGTATTAGACTGTTGCAAGCAGCCATTCCTTTGCTCCAAGCTCTTAGAATGAGCTGATTCCTGTGGCTCTGTGTGCCATCAGCCCCTCACCTGCAATAGTTGTGATTGCCCAATCCCAGCTCAGCAGCATCCTCTCTTTGACCACTGTACATCCGCTCCATCAAGCCATTGCTATTCCAATTTAAACATTCGGTTCCGCTCACTGTCTTGCTCCATGTACCCCTGTATGTTACTCCAGCATCTTTGTAGCACTTAACTTCAGTATCTGAACAGAAGGGAACAAAATGTTACTATAAGGACAGCATCCCAAAGTCTGCTTCCTCAGTCTCTGTCCTGTTTAAACTTGGTTTCCAGATGTCTTGTCTAGTAAGTTGGTGAAAATGCCTTGCCAGGCAGACTGTTAGTATACACTAAGGTCTTCAGCTCCAAAATCTAGGGTTTTATTAAAAGACACTGAGAACAGCCCAGGAGTTCTTCTCAAAAGTTCTCTGTAGTGTTAGCTTTAGAATAAAAAGAGGCAACTTGAGAGAGGCTAGCGTATAGCAGCAGCTTCTGGGTACCTCATCCTTCTGCACTGCATAGCTAAAACCAGTAGCACTGGTCACAGTAATTGACATGGCATACTGACCTATTTCACACTGCTTCCCAGAGAAACCTTGGTGGCACTGGCAGATGAAGAGCTGTGGGGAATAATAAGCCTGTGAACAGTGACCCCCGTTGTAGCATTTATTTCTAGTGCAGGCTGTGGAATAAGCAAAAGCCAGGAAATACCATTAGATTTCACAGAAATAAGAAGCTGGCGAAGTATACCCATCTTTCCTGTCAGTCTCCTTTACCCTGTTCTGTTTTCCTTGCCTACATGTTATTGTTGTGTGCTTACGGTCTTTCTGTGTAGTGCTTACGTTCTTCATTTGCTCCATTCTCTCCATATACACTATTAGCAGCCTTCTCAGCCCCTTGCGCACCCCCGCTTAGTCCTGCCTGAGTCAGTATATATTAGTATTTTCATTTCTGTTCTATTCTATTTCAAGCCAAATTTTCTGTGTGATAACTTCTTCCCTGACAGTGGAAGGGATCATCTGTAGGATGATTAGATGGACAATCTCTCATCCTCCACTGTTTCCTTCTCTTTTTCTTCTTCATACTCACCTCTGACAGGCACAGTGTGGCAGCGACTCTGACCACTGTCGCACCTACAGTATTCTATTTTGCTCCCCGAGAGCCTCAGCCAGGTCCCCCTGTGCTGGTAAATTTCTCCAGATGAATTGTCTGTGCAAATGGCTGTAATTGGAGAAAGGAAATCCTCTTTTAGAGATTCAGGGAAAAGACCTGGCTGAGCAAAAGAACCCCCTTTTTTTTTTTCAAGGAGAAAGGTATCTGTGATGGGAGTATCTGTCTAATGGACTGCCCTTTTTCCTTCTCAGACCACAATTGTCACATCTCTCTCACTGGTGTGTTTCTGGATGTACTGTTCCACTACTGAATGTCCTACTTTTCTTTGAAGAAGGTAGGGGAAAGCTTTGTTCTTTGAGTTGTGGATGGTATTAATGGTCTGATGTTTAGCCTTCTGAATCTCTTATCCAGATAACTGTGACAAACAGCTTTCAGGCTACGTTCCCTCAGCATCATCTGCTTTCCCCTCCTGTGTTCATAAAGCTCCAGGTAACGTGGTTGTAGTTTGCTTGGCTTACCTCTAGATCTGGCTCCCCGTTTGAAACGCATACGTAAGCCCTGCAAGCAAAGAAGGTTAATTCTGTGAGTAACTGCTCTCTTAAGAAAACTGAGAGAACAAGTGCCTCCAAAGAGCCAGTCTTCTCGAGGTCTTGTAAATCAGGAGAACTCTGAGAAACTGTCTGCTCTCCTTGTCAGACAGTACAGTGAAAAGTGCTTTTACTGCCTCAGCATGTATACTGAGAATTGCAAATCATTGAGTTGCCACAGATTACTGGGTGACTAATTGTCGTCTGAGTAATGTGAATTTGAGATGTGCTGTACTGACATCGTGCATGAAGCGATTATGTGCGTGCTCTTGGGACACTGCAAGTGCTAACTAAAGCTTGTCAGCTTTCTGCTATTTTAAGGAGGTTCGAGCAAATAATTTCCAAAGAAGCAAATGTGAACAAGCAGGTTTTTTTGCTCACTGACATGCAGTTTCCCCCCATAAGTCTTTGTAGCTTGATTGCCTTTGAGAAATATGTCTCCTGCAGCCAATTAAATATTTGGATAAAGTTTTAAGGAGTAAACCGATTTAGAAAGCTTCTTTGATCAGGCCACAAGAGAAAAAGTAACATAAAAAGGAGGAAGGCTGGCATAGCAGTTTTTTGAGAGATTAAATATTTTAGAATTGGGTAGGAATTACTCAAAGCTGTGTAATGTGAGGCTTAAAGTGAGGGGCCATGGGAACCATTGACGTCCAGTTGTGAGAGTAATGGTGAAGGTGATGACAACAGGAAGAAAATTAAAGGATGGTCCCAATGGAACCCTTACTAACTGTGAAAGGTGACAGTGAACAGATAGACAAACAAGATTTGGAGAAGACTTGCTTACTGAAATGAAAACCAGCCAGGATAACACATTACTGGAAACCCCAGGTTGTAACGTTTTCCTTCCTCTGATTTCTAGTCATATAACCAGATCCTCCTTCTGTCTGACGCAGACAGCTGGAGTCAATGGTAAGGTAGGGCTGCTGAAAACGCAGGAGAATGGCAAGAGTGTTACTTGATGCATTAGACTCTTACCTGGCATTGAACAGTCATGATTGCTCCCACCAGCAGGAGGAGACATGGGAGTTTGCTTTCTATTCTGAGTGTTTTCCACATCACCTCCAAATCCTAAGTTAACTATAGAGATAAAAGAAAAAATAAGATGTTGAACAAAGGCGTTTTACACCATAAATGGAGTTCAAGGTCATAAGCTTAGATAAAGGTTTTAAATGATGAAAATTCATTAAAACATACTTTCTACTCTGCAGTTCTCAGCCATCTGGTCTAGCTGTCCTGGTGTCCCTGGACAGGGGAAACTGCCAGGCTGGATCCATATGTGCTTTTAGTTGATAAACTTAGAAACCTGACAAGCTAGAGCACACCCTTTTAGGTCTGGAAGAAACTGAGTGTTTCCTGGGAAATAACACTTGTAGAAGTAAATTCCAAGTCCTTTTTTCCAAGGTTGCTGGAAACCAACAGTATTGTGTACATTATTATAGAGGTGGACTTGTCTAATGAAAGAGTGTAATGCTGAATGGAATGGGTGAATTGAGATTCAGGTCACCGAGGCCTACCTAAGAGATCTCTTGCAGGGGCACAAAAACCTGAAGGGTCAGTCTGTGATAATAGTGGTTTAAGAGGATTTGTGTTTTCTGCACAGACTGCTTCTTTGGATATGAGTGAGGACTTCTCTGTTGTGCAGAGGATGCATCAGCAAGGAGACGTTCGTTGACAATAGGTAGGGACAGCACTGCTGTGTCTTTGATTTTAAATATTTCTACAGCTTCTACCCAGCTGAGCTTTTAGTTTCTACTACTGTCATATGCTTTTGCTAAAAAGGGAGTATATGGCAAATGGCTGGCAGGCTAGCTTCTGATCTGGTGTTCTCATTTATTCATTGCAGCATCTTTTTGTGTGTCACTTCTGTGCAGTCCATAGCACATTTTATTCCCTTTAATTCCTTCAGCAGCTTTATACTTCAGACAAAGCCATTTTCTATCCCACATGAAGAGTTTCTGCTTCCTCCAGACTGATTTACTTGGTCTGTCTCTTACAACAGTAGTCTTGGGAGAGAATCTCCAATGATCTCCTGTGGGAGATTGCTAGCTGGTATGGTGTGGCTGGGGTTAAGGATGAATCTGCATTCCTCTCATTTGCTTTGAAAAGCTACTTCTTTCTTCACTCATTAGAGGTTAATTTCCTACCTGGTGAAACAGCTGCCCTGACCTGGCCACAGATAGCTACGGGAAAGGAAGGACATTCGGGTACTCTGATCCATCTGCATTTCTTCCTACTGTAGCAAAATTTATTTCTGGCTGGCCTTGAGCAGGCAAGTTTCTTGGCTGAAGCGTGAATTTAAATTCCTGTAGCTGCTGACTGCAGCGAGATATGCTACCATCTTGTGCCCTGGTTTCCCCTCCCCCAGTTTGTTTCCTGACAAAGGAGGAAAAATTATTTCTTTCACCGAAGCAAGAGTGCCTTGTGTAAGCGCTGACTGGTTTAGAGCAGCTGCTGGGAGGAGAGAAAATTCCAAGTGGCCAGGGGCACGCTCGTAGCATGGTGCAGTCTTGAGCATATACAATTTTTTACTGCTGGAATTAAGCAACATGGTTTTTTTTCCTTGCTGTACTAAATGCCATTTCTAATCTCATCCTCATAGCAGAAAAATACACTGGATGTGACAGAAAAAGGCAGTGAAGGGCTTTCTGAGGCAGTCTGTTGCCTATGAAGGCAATGCACTTTGCCGTGGGCTTCCAGCTCCTCTGTTGATACCTGTAGGAAGAATCACTGAGATGTATTTTGCCCATTCTTTTATCTTGGTGAGCATGTAGTAACTGTAAAAGATCAGGCAAATGTATATATGTAAAAGAACTCCAGTAAAGCCTGACCTTAGCAGCATGAGTGTGGTAGCTAGCAAAGTTCTACTTTGTATTTAGAAATGCTGCTGAACTTGAGGACTTCAAATGAGGATTTATTGGCATGCCAACAGGACTCTCTCTTGTGGCGTTGGGGAGGCAGCTGTTAGGTGCAAAACGTAAATTAGTAAAATGGATACAAATGATTAAACAGTGTTAGAAGTTTAGAAACTTAGTGCATAAGGGGCTTTTTGGAAACATGGCATTAAACAGCAAGGTCCAATACATCTGTTAAAAACTGGGAAGGTATTACTGATTCAAACAGTTGAGTAATAGCTTTTAAGGACTGCAGTTGTTGTTATGTAATCTGAACTCTTAAAATAAGACAAATAACTTTATTGCCGGTTTCCTGACTTGAACCCATAATTTTCTTCCTAAAAGTAATAGTTACTCCTGCATGCAGTAATAGTAGCTTTTTTTTACAACTGAAGGAGGCATAAATAATCACCAGTGTGAACAGATTTATCTTGATTCTCTGTACTAACCAAGACTGCTGTAGCAGTTAGTCTAGATGGCTGAGATGATGAATCACAAGAGTGTGTAGACAGGAACCCCCCTGCTTTGAACAAGTCCAGTACCAGAGGTCCATTTTTTCTCTTCCTTTAAAAGTGTAATGCCTCCTATACAAATCAAGAGCTGGGAGTGAGGTAGAGTAGCGGGCAATAATATATAGTTTCATTCCCAATCTCTAGAATTGCTCTGCGGTTCCAAATCTTTGAAATAATATTCAGGTGCTGTCTCCCACACTATCAGCTTTTTATCATCTATATTATATGATCCCTGAGCAAGTAGAAAGTTAACCCAATTATTTGAGAAAACTACTACCTACAGATATTAGGAGCTCAGACTGTTTATATTAAGCCAGAGAAGGCAGCTGGATAATAGCTGGTGAAATTGGAGTATGACAGATGAATGAGTCATAAATTGGGATTCAAGTCTAAAACGGGGAGAGTTTGTGTGTTGGTTTTTTTCTGTTTGTTTTGTTTTTTGTTTTTGTTTTTTTTTTTTTTTTTAAGATTTGTTCAAAGAAAAAGCAAAAGGCACAAATATTCCAGTCTCTGAAGCAGAACTGGGAGTACAGCAGGATAGTTTCTGCTGCAGTTTCCCACCATTAGACAGCACAAAGAAGAGACTTAAGTTGCAAGTCAGACTGAAAAGATTCACAGGAACAGCTTCTGAGAACCTTAGTTACTCCAGTCCTGTCTTTAGGTCACATGATGAGAAGATCCTTGTAATTCAGAGCATCTCTTGGGGATTTGTATTAGTATGCAGATTTTGTAGTGTATTTTTTATATACTCTCAAGCCCTTTCTCACCTCTTACGAAGCGTAAGAGTGATTTCCAAATAGGCAATGACTTCAGTTGAATCTGAACTAAATCAGCCGTGTTCCCAAAGCTGAAGTGGATGATCTGAACTGCTACCTCTAGTCATGTGGTTGCTGCTGTAACCCTGTGTTTTGTTATCCTTACTCCCTGTGGCTGTAGCTCATTATTGGAGCTGTGCAGGCTTGTGTTCTGAATCCCACAGCAGCAAAGTTTTAACTTGCTAATTGTTAGTATCACTGGTAATCTTTGTTGCTATCTGCAGAGAAGGCTTGAAGTTCTTACTGACCGCTTTAAGAAATGAGATTCTGCTAGCTAAGACCTTGTTAAAGAAAGGTTCATTCGCTGAAAGTACTTATCTGAGTTGAGCTGCTTTGTTAGGATTTCTTCTGGGAAGCACTGTGAACTGTTGAGACCTCATTTCTGAAGTACCTGCTAAGATGCCCCTAAAACAAGGCAACACTGGTGAAATCTGAAACTTTTTTGGTGGGAAGACAGAGTGACAAAGCTGGCCTAACTAATATCTTGGAGGAGGTCTTAGCTGCCTGAAACCAGCAGTGAACGATAGCTAGTTTTCAGGGGCAGTGTGAAACATCTTTTAAATTGGGGGGGGTGGGTGGGGAAGGCGTTTTGGTCTTGGAGACTGACATGAAAGGAGGACTCCCTATTTAAAAAGCACCTGCATGGTTTAATCAAGATTATTGTTATAATCAAGTTTATCCCATATAGTCCACTATACAAGTGGATTCTAATCTTACACACCACATGCTTATACTGTAGAATAGGGAGACAGTCTCCTTAAAGTTGTCTTGCATTCGATGCTGCATCCTTTCTTCCACTTATTTCTGCTGCCCCTGTTCAGGCTAGCTTATTTTATAATGCTGCAGCCCTTCCCCCTGGCCTTTCCCACTCTCCATGGGGGGATGCCTGTCCATCTATGCATGGAAAACTGGTAACAGATGTTGCCAGATGTTTATTTTCAGTTTTGGGAAAGGTACAGCCTAGGCCAGTCAAATAGAACGTTACAAATGATAAGCACTATCAAACTGAAACCATATGGCTGTTTGAAAAATACCATGTTTACAAGACTCCCAGCGGAAACCTGCAAGCAGTGTGCTTTCTGGTAGGGCGTTCCTAAACAGTTTGTGCCTTCTGCTCTCACCCTCTGCCTCCTCTCTGATCAAAAATACTCTAGCAATAAGCCAAAGGCCTAGATGTGATGTTCTAACATTTTGATTCTACACTTCCAGGTACATTAGGACATAAGATATACAATATTCTAAATGTATCTCTCTTTGCTGAAGCATCATCAGCAGGAATGCTTTAAATCCCACATGTTAATTTATTATTAATAACAGTAAAAGTATTCTTCTAAGCAGTAAGAGTATGAGTATTATCTTCTCAATGTGGAATAAGACCTAAAAAACAGTTTTATCTTATCAAGGTCAAACAAAAAGTCATTCACAGAAATTAAAAGTACCCCCCCATATGCCTCCCAGTAACCTAGTATGGCCATTCCAGAATACTTTGATTCTGAATCTACAGCACTAATAGCTTTCTTGCTGATGAACAACTATCTTGCACTAGTTCAAGCAAAAGACTGTAGATCTTTGCTGCCTTTCCCTGCCTTCTGGAGAAAGTGCTTCTGTATCCCTTTTCTAAACTAAGCAGATGAATAGATGAATATCAGACTCGTACTATTTCTCTTTAAAATACAACAGTGGACAGACCTCTGCTTTTGGGGAGTTAGAAAAAAAAATATCAAGAAAGTAAGATTCTGTAGTCCTTGAAGGCATCAGAGGAAATCGGTATTTCAAACTCTGGGTTCGTTTTGGGAATCATTCTCAATATTTCATGTGGTTTTGGCTGCATTTGAAAAGAAGCATGTTCAGGGAGAACTGAAGAAGACCCGCCCTCCTCCTCTTTGTCCCTCCATTATCCTGGTTGGGAGCCCAGGGTGAAAGTCATAGTCTGACTTCGTCCCAGGAAAAAGGAGAAATTATCCTTTCACAGCTAGTTCTCTGGTTCTCTCCTTACCGTGAAGATATCTGTTGCAATTGTCCTTTGTTTTAAGTTCTTTTGCTAAGGTTCTTTGTGCAGGAGACTCCTCCCTGCTAACTAGTCAGAGCCTGAGGCTGTCAGTCCTTTCCCTGGAATAGCTGAAGCTTTCTTGAAACAACCGAAAGCCAGCAGCTTTACCCAGCATTATGAATCTCTTCAAAAGCTGAAAGGCAATAGCTCGGTTAGTTAACTATGGTGCTTCAGTGGGATTTGTTAAATAGTAATACTTAATGACAATACCATTGATGTTGAAAACAGGAAATGGCACTTTTTGAAACAGGTGTGAGTAGTACCTACCTTTTTGCTTTTTCTCTTCTGTACTCTGCTGATGATTTCTTTTCTAGACCAGTCTGGTTTTGTGTTTCCTGCGTCTCTGCTCTGTTCTCTCTGAACAGCTCCTGTCCTACTTAAAACTCCGCTCGAGGGGTGGAGACTCCAGAGGGCAGTAGGGCGTCCTTTCCGCCACCCCTTCCAGAGGATCTGGGGATGGTTCAGGACAGGGTGGCTTGTGTCCAAAGAATTAAGGAGTGAGTCTGTGCAGGACAGGAGGAAAGGTTGCTTGCTGAAGTGAGTGGGGCATGCTTGGGAATTTTATTTTTATAAAAATTATTTTTTTATTTTATACCCCAATTTTACTGGGATTTTACGGCCAGTTTGGTTTGTTCTCTCTTCCAGTCAGACAGCAGTCTTCAAAACAATTTTTTGCCATCGAATACCTTAAGCTTCAGTGACAGTGAGAGTAGTATGTATGCCTTATGATGAACCATCCCATCGTGCTTCTAGGAGTGCGAAGGGGTGTATTGCACAGGTGTATTATTTCTAACATGACCAGAGGACTGCAATCTGTAGAATTAGTCCTAGTACTGAGAAACTCCTGTTTCAAGCAAGCGTGTAGTGTGCTGTGCTCTGAATGGCATCCAGTGAGAATCTCTGGCAGAGAGACCCTGACCTGTAATGTGGAGCAAAGCATGCCACGAACAGTGCTACTGGGAGAAGAAATGGTCAGAGGAGCTCTAAAGTTAAGTGGGGACAATGAGCAAAACTACTAAGGATCCTTACATAGAAATAAGGAATAGCATGATGAGGACTAAAGAGTTAAATGTTTGCTGATATTGTCCATCCTGGAAAATTAAGATCTACTCACCAGGGTGTGGTGATGAGATACTAGATTATCAAAGTGTGGCAGACAAATCTGAATGATCAGTCTTGGGGCTGTGTTATGAAAACT